ATATCATTACCTTTATTGTAAATAGCATTACTTTTGTTGTTGATACCATTACTTTTATTGTAAAAAGCATTACTTTTGTTGTAAATGGCGTTACTATAATTTTTAGATTTAAATTTATTATTTTTTGTGTTTGCGTTTTTATTATATGCATTTATTATCTCACGCAAGTTCAAAACTTTAGAGAGTTTGTAATATTTATTTACTATTTTGTATTTTGTATGAATATTTTTTTCTTGGTAAATAAATATATTATTATTATTACTATTATTATTTTCACCTGTCACGGCATGCCGCGGCAGTCAGAAACTTAATTAACCAATTAGTTACATACTACCGTAGGCCGGGCTAAATATTTGTTTTTTTCTTAATTTTTTTAATTTTAAAAAATGTTTAAGCGGCTCCACCAGGTTGTTATTTTTTTTTTAGCGGAAGGGGTGGCAAAAGTTTCCAAATGTAGGTAAAAAAAACTAATAAATTACACATTTTTTTATAAACTGAAATTAATAGAATAATAAATGTGTAGCCAAGGGGGGCAGCTTCTCTCGCTAGAAGGGGCGAGTAAGCGTAAGTAAGGTCAGAGTGTACGCAGAAAATTGGATTTATTGTCTTTTTACAATCCAAATTTATTGCATTGATTTTTTAATGATGATAGATTTATTATGGATAAAATAATAATTTGCACAAATCTGTGGGTAAAAGGCATAAGGGGATAAGTCAAAACAAGCAATTTTTCAGTGGAGCCTTAAACGTGTTCGCATTAATTTAGGAAATATATTTATGGTTAGTGGGTATACCCTTTTGGTAGCACATGTCATATGCTACCAAAAGGGTATACCCGATAACCATAAATATATTTCCTGAATTAATGGGAACACGTTTAAGGCACTGCTGAAAAATTGCTTTTTTTGACTTATCCCCTTATGCCTTTTACCCACAGAAATATACAATTTATTTATTAACATTAAGCGATTTATATGTACAGTGTTGCCATATGTATATACATGTATTTAATGATTAACATGAATTACATAAAGTGCTAATTCATATTTAAAATACTTGGGGCACCTCCAAAAATAATTCAAGTGTCGCCCATCTCTGTACACGCTCTTTTTACACATGCCAGAACAATTTGAACGGGTAAAATTTTTTTTTTAAATAATTGGGGTTTGTTGGGGCACCTGAAGGGGAAACTTTTTCCACCCCTGCCATTATTAAGAAAAAACACATGTTCAATATGTGGTACTCTCTAAAAATGAATTAGTCAAAAATGACTAATTGTCATAGCGAAAAAGCAGCCACTAATAATTCTCGTCAAAAGCAATTTCATTTTTAGATAGTACCTCATCCAATTTTTGTTAAAAGTATGTGATCAACCAATCTGTGACCTTGCAGTAAGTGCCTTAATAGCAGAGCTGGGCACGAGTAATAAAAAAGTATTCGTAAAATTTTAAGTACGAATATTTACTCGTAAGTACTTTATTCGTAAGTACATTTATATATTTTATATACTCGTATACTTTTGAAAAAAATGTTAGTTAATATAATTGATTATTCTTTATACATTATACATACTGAGCTATAAAAATACAAATACAAATTTATAAAATTATTTATTTTAAACATTAGGTTCATAAAATAATAAAAAAAAATAACAATTCCTAAATGGTTTATAATTTTACCTATATACTTCTTATAAAACCTATAGGCTATAGGCTATAATATATTATATTATACTATATATTTAAATAATAATAATAAACGTCTTTATTGAAATAAGGAAATACACTATTTCAAATGGCGGGATTTGAATTTAAACATTAAAAATGTAACAATTCATTCTTACATTCAACCAAAAAAATATCGGATATTTATATAAATATCATGATATTTGCGAACCTTAGGGTTTGCAAATATAAATCACTCGATTTATATTGGATATTTATTATGGATATACATCGGAAATTTATATAAATATCATGATAATTTCGAACCCTGTATAAAACAGACTTCCAAACAAAATATTTTGACGCTTACGATATTTTGGGTGAAACCATTAAACCAATGGGATCTTGTAATCCGAATTCCTGAATAACAGTTCCTATAATACCAATAGGTAGTTAGCACTTGGTTTATAATCGTTTACAGTTTTTAAATTAACAACGAAAGTTATCGCTCCTAAATCTATTGATATATATATATATTGATTTTTATTTTCATTTTATATTATAATGTTATTGCATTAAATAATAATTTGATTTATTTAATAACGTTACTATAGTATGTATAATATGTATACATTTAACGCAATAAATTCTTTCACATTTAGGCAAAATGTTTCCCTATTTTCGTTTAATAGTACTTAATTGAGCAAATAACAATTTAGATTGCTTCAATTTTAACAGCATAGTAGTTAGATTTTTTTATGTGTACATTGAATTTGCTTTGTACGATTAATAAGTATTTTAAATGAAAAATACTTATGAGTAAAAAAGTTTTAGTATTTTTTTACTCGTAATTGAAATACGAGTAAAAGTACTCAGTACTTGGCCAGCTCTGCTTAATAGTCAACAACCTTTTATGTAGAATTCTGCATTATTTATCAAACATACGCACAAGAAACATTTCCGACGTTGCCGCTACTTATTATTATTACCTATAAAATTATAAAAAATTGATTTATAGTTTATTTTATAGACTGTAATGTAGCTGTCAGATCGGTTTTATTCCTTACATTTGAACTGTATCATTTTCTTAAGTAGATTCCTGCTTACTTGAATAGAAATTGCGTACCTAATCAAAGATGTCCAAAGACCACGCAGGAACTCAAGATTAAAATCGACTAAGGATTTGCTCACTGTGTTTTGAGAAAATAAAGTAATGAATATGCTATCGCCATCGTAACAAAACTATTACTTTTAATAATCAGCTGTCAAATGCGAATTTAACAAACGAGTGTTTTGGAGAAAGAGGCCGAAAAATGTTAAAAATATCGGGAAAACGATTTGTGCTGTTGGGTGTTTTTCGAGAGGAAATCCTGAGTTTAGTTTTTACCGGTTTTCCAATAAATAGTGAAAATCCAAATAAAGAAATAAATTGCATACAGTCCCTGTAAATATAAATTATACCTATTATATACAAGATAAAAATCGACTAAGGATTTGCTCACTGTGTTTTGAGAAAATAAAGTAATGAATATGCTATCGCCATCGTAACAAAACTATTACTTTTAATAATCAGCTGTCAAATGCGAATTTAACAAACGAGTGTTTTGGAGAAAGAGGCCGAAAAATGTTAAAAATATCGGGAAAACGATTTGTGCTGTTGGGTGTTTTTCGAGAGGAAATCCTGAGTTTAGTTTTTACCGGTTTTCCAATAAATAGTGAAAATCCAAATAAAGAAATAAATTGCATACAGTCCCTGTAAATATAAATTATACCTATTATATACAATAAATACACCTTTTAGTAATGATTTACGTGAAAATTGTAAACATTTCAATTCAGTAAAAATCATAAAACAAATAAGTCGTCTAAATTCAAACAGGATTTAGCATTATTAAAAGGATTCATTGAGAAAGTCTCCACTCAACGGTAAAAGACCAAAAACGTTTATTATATCATATATAATATAATGTTGCCATGAATTCGTAATATTTTAAAATGCAGTTGTCGGTGTTTTTTAGAAGACTCAAATTTATAAATGTTTGATTTTTAGGATATGTTTGCACAACTATTATTTTTTGTTATATTTCTTAAAAATTTCTTTAATAAAGTTACAGTGAGTTATGAACTCAGTTATCTGGTAGATAATTTCCATGGATACCATTGTTCAACAACAACAACGATCGATATGGAATTTAACTGTCAGATAGACAAACTGGAACTTAACCACAGATTGATAACCCGGCTCTTAGGTGTGCAATTAAAACTTTTCAAACAAAATTTGTCGAGTAGGACTTCTGCCTTTCTCTCTTTTATGATCTGTGTAGTAGTATCTTACGAAGGGATTGCAACGTGGGCTGCTTAAAATGTATAAAAGCGTTTTAAAGCTCATTCACATCCACTTAATACGCGTAACTTAACTTAACGTACGTGATAGACATAAGTTGAAATGCATTGAAACCAATACAGCTGTTTACATTCGTAGAAAACTTATTACACGTATCTTAACGTATCCAAAAGTTGGGTCCGACTCAATACGTTTCTTACGTGAGCCAATCACATGTCCAGTAAAACGATATAGCGCTATCTTGTTGTTTCACTTTTATAGATAGAGCCAATCACATGCCCAGTAAAACGATATAGCGCTATCTTGTTGTTTCACTTTTATAGATAGATAGGCAACCCAGTCTACATCCATGTCTACATTGCGTGTGCTTGTATATTGCGTTCTTTGCGTGTATTAAGTTAATGTAAACAGACAACTTAACAGACGTAAGTTTCTTAAGTTAAGTTACGCATATTAAGTGGATGTGAATGAGCTTTTAAGCTTTAAATGTATTGTTGTATTGACAATTCTTGAATTCTTACAATGCTATCGAGCGCCACCAGATGGCGCGCGCGTCGCGAAAACTCGATGCTTCTTTATTGTATAAGATACAGGAAAACTTAAAAAAGAAGTAGCAAATCTTTTTGATTACGATGTCCACGATAATTGTTTACCGCTTGATCTGTGTAGTAGTATCTTACCATGAAATTGCAACGTGGGCTGCTTAAAATTTATAAAGCTGCCTATAATTCATAAAGAATAATAAAGGGGTTTTAGAGTAAGATTTTTTTTACAGTTGTTGCAAAAATTGTGGCCAACACTGTATATATATAATATAAGTATTTTAATAAATGAATGCATGCATAGTCGAAATACTACTCGTATTTATCTATCTATTTCAACAGTTTTACATCATAGCATAAGCTTATCTCTATAAAAACATATTAATTTTTATTTTTATGGTATCAAATAAAAAACAATAAAAAATAAATTAATTAAAAAATTTATTTGCATTATTTTCTTGGATCTAAACTTATTAAAAATCCCTCTTTTCTTCTGACAGTAAGTTGTAGGGATAACTTAAAATCTTTTTGCTTTTGATTACAAATTACTTTATATCTTCTAAGAATTTTTGCTAAAAACACCTTAACCACGAGCATGGCATAGTTGGAACCTAAAATGCATACAAAAATAATCTTAACATAGATAATAATTAAATATTATTACCTATGCATTTTCGTACGCCTTCTGAAAAAGGCAGAAAACTGTATGGTGGTCTAGTTTTATCGTTTTCAGAATTAAATCTTTCAGGAATAAATCTATTGGAATTAGGATAATAGTCCTCATTTCTGTGCAATAAAAATAATGAACATAACAACGGAGTACCCTTTGGGAAAATATATTGCCCTACAAACAATAAACAATAATAATTTTGTAATAATTCTAAAAAGTTTTAAATACCTAAATTTATATCCTTTATAGGGACCCTCATAAAGCCATTGATTGGTGGAAATAAACGCCAAGTTTCCTTAATAACTTGTCCTAGATACACCATTTTTTGTATATCTTCGTAATTTATATCTCTATCTGAGAGTCCTAAAATTTCTTCTAACTCCTTATACAGTTTGTCCTACAATGCGTGGGTATTTTAATAAATAAAATTATTAAGAGCTATTTTTAACAAAAAAGTTTCTAATAGATATCCCAAAGAAGATAGTTAGTGCCTATTTTTAGGGAAAATATTTTTTATACTGTTGGATTTAAAAAAATAGATCTAACGTAATCCTGTTATAGGGCCCTGAGCCAATTGGATAGAAGTACCTATAGGAAAGTTTATTTTATTTATTTATGTATATATATTAGGGTGTCCCTTATTTTTTATTTTTTTTCAGGCATACCCTCTAATTATATTTATTACGTGTTTATTAGGGTTCGCAATCTCGAAGAGGAAATATAATCCCGGGATTATGATATCGATATTTAACAATCCCGGGAATACCGGGATTTCGAGATTGATATTAAAAACTAAAAGAAAACATAGAAAGCATAATTATTAATTTTATTAATAAAAGACAATTTTAACCAAAAAATTATTCCTGTGTTCAGCGGCTAAACCAATACCGCAGAAAAATTAGTTCATTAAGGGTACATCCCCAAGTCGGGATATAATTTTTGTAGATAGGATTTCTGCTGCCGAAAACGCCCTTTTTAAATCCACACTAGTGGGGACATTAAGAAATCATATTTCAGCTTGAGGAATGCATCCCTGCTTCCCCCATTTTCAAAAAGCGACATTTCTTTTTTTAGAGTTGATGTTACCAAATCGGTTTGAGGGTGCATTTTTATTGGGTCCATTGCGTTATTTGTCAATGATTTCTTAGTTTTAATTTGAGGATGGAGCAGTAGCATGGCTGAAAGAGTAATTTCATCCTCGTCATCGTCTTCTTGAAAATAAACATTTGGTTTTTTTGTAAACGTTTTCAAGCATTTCCCTAATAATTTTTTTGTTTAGAATATTGAACAGAGCATCTGATTCCTTATCATTGGGATTGTGCAAATAGGGGATAATACCTGAGCAATAAGTTCTGCGCTGAGAAATCCTTACCCTTAGGGCTTCATATAAGTTGGCACTTACGGAAGTGTTAACTTCTTAAACTTGTTTCAACATAAATTTAAATAATAAAAATACCGGGATCATGATTTGTGATCCCGGTATTTTCGGTATTGAAAAACCGACGAGATCCCGGTATTTTCGGTTTTGGGATTTCGGGATTGCGAACCCTAGTGTTTATATACTCCCAGTAAAAATTTCAGCTCATTCTATAAACGGGAACCCGTGCCGACTTGCATCTGAACCCTCCGTTAGCCAACGTTAGGCGCGCGGTATTTTGTAACACGGTTGGTCGCGAGGTCTTCGATCGTAAGTCATTTTGTGTTTGTTATTATGTGACCCTTATATTATAAATTATTGACAAATGTTAAAATATAGTTTTATTTATGTGTATACTTTGATAAAAATGTATATTTTCACAGAGAGTAGCTAGTTACCCGGAAGGGTCTAGTGAATAGGCTAAACTTTGAAATTGATAAACTTAATGGGTTTTACTCTAAATAACTAAAAGAGTCTATTGTGAGAGATGACTACCGAAAACTTATTGAAGTGTCTGAAATATTTTTGGGAGGACATTAAGAAAAGAAATGCTTATAAAAAGCTGAAATTTCATATAACAGTATATTTTAGCAATACTAATTAGTATTCTTCTTCTTCTTCTTCTATACTTTTTATTCTCTCTTTCGAGAGAATTAGACTTGAGCCGATTAGGCTCTTACTGCCCAGTTACTAGTTTTAACGTCCAATGCTTTCCGAAGAACCAAAAACCATTGGACAAAGCTTGACTATCGGACACACACGTGGACACAAATAGGTTATATAACCTTAAAATTTATAAATTTATATAAATTCCTCTTATCCCTTATACAAGGACCAATCGAGGAATATTATCAAGAAACAGGAATATTTCTATTCCGGGAATCCAATTTTGTTCCCCCTAGCTCGAAGAGTCATCTATATTTCACACTTTTCATTAAGCGGTCCGTAACCTAGCACGAACAAAATCGAACCCCACTAATTAGTATATTAATATATTTAAGGGATAAAATCAACTAAATTTTTCTTTGGTTATTTTTTTAATGGTCATTCAGATATAATAAAAAAAAGAGTTCCGGGTAATTAGTTTTACGGCCTATTCACCCGACACTTCCGGGTAACTAGCCACTTCCTGTAAAAATATTCAATTTTATTAAAGTATACACATAAATAAAACTATATTTTAACATTTTTTAATAATTTATAATATAAGGGTCACATAATAACAAACACAAAATGACTTACGATCGAAGACCTAGCGGCCAACCGTGTTACAAAATACCGCGCGCCTAACGTTGGCTAATGGAGGGTTCAGATGCAAGTCGGCACGTGTTCCCGTTTAAAGAATGAGAATGAGAAATTTTTACTGGGAGTATATAAACAAGTAATAAATATAATTTATACGCATATATATGCGTAAAAAAAATAAAAATAAGGGACACCCTAATATATATATATATATATATATATATATATATATATATATATACATAAATAAAATAAACTTTCCGGCGACACCTTCTTTCTCTAGCGCCATTATTAACTTTTAAAAAAAGTAATCAGACTTTATCATTTTACTAGTATGGGTAGTGTTGCACAAATAGTAACTTTATATTATTTAAATCTCGTTTTACCTAAATACTTATACGTATACTTTATCAAACGTTGATACAATATACAATATGTTTATCCCTTTCAAATAAAAAGACTTATCATTTTTGGAAACAAATCGTTTTCTGCCATTCCTTTGAAAACATTAAAAGGCACTGGGGGCTAAACCTGAAGAATAAGGCGAATAAGGGATCCATTTGGATAAGGCTTAAACAACACAAAACACTTTCGAAATGTTTACAGGGAAGCGTTTCTCGCCAAGTGTGAGCAAACAAGCACCCATTTGTGCGTACTTACCCAAGTAATTATTCAAAATCAAACCGGTGAGCAATATGATATAGGTAACCATGGCTTCACGATATCATTCATTTTTTTCTACAATCTGCCAACACGTGTACCGATTTATATGCCTTTAGTCCTCAAGAGCAGCAAGAAACTATTTATTTTAGATAATTTTTAAATTAGTTTTTATGGGTAGTACCTTAATTTAATTTTAAACACCAAACAAATCAATACCTACGTAATCAAAGTTCCCTTGTACTCGGTTTGGGAAGCATCGTGGCATTTGTTGTTGTTCTTTTTCTATAGTTGTTGTGTTTTTGTCACAGATCATAAAGGTTTTTGTTCCAAAATTTATGGCCTTACTTTATTTTTAATAAACATTTTTTATATATGAATCAATCCAAATGAAAACACCAAAAATGAATTTAAAAGTGCGCTGCATGATTTTTTATTTTAATGAAGAAATTTGAGGATGATCTTTTAGGTATCATATATGACAAACCGTTGCCGTTTTAATTTTTAGTTGTTTTACTTTTAATCGGCACCCTTTAGAAACCTGAAATCGTGTCATTTTCTTACTCTCTTATAAGAGGCTAAAACTTTTTTTATGTGGCAATTATTGAAATGATTGTAATTTTATTTTACTGCCTACTAAGTATACTTACTAGGCAGTAAAACATATATGTTTTCAATATTAATTATTATCATCTAATTAGTTCATCTCATAAAAGAATGGTAAAACACTAAGGATTTGCAAATTTTTGTGATTTTTGTCTTGCTCCTGTGCCTATTTTACTAAATCTAGAAAGGTGCTTTTTTCAGGTATCAAGTACTTATACAATAGAAAACGTAACTATTATTTTATATTTCTATAGACTATCATTTTCTTTATTAAAAAAATTATTGAAACTTGATAATTATCATAATTAGCCAATTTTGTTATTTTTATCCATGTAAAAGTTATAATATTTTTTTAAATGCCCGTTAAGAAGCGATTATGTTATTTTTATTTATAATTTAAAATTTGGATGGCTTTGACTTTGTCAATTCATGTTTGGTAGAGAAATGTCAGAACTGTCAAAAATATTTCATAAATATTATTTGTGCGTATTTATTTTGTGATTTCAAAAAGTTTGACGGAGTGTTCGAGATTCATGAATTTAATTGCAATTAAAAATACAAGAACATATCATAATTTTGTACCTCTTTCTCATATATAGAAGTACAAAAATATTCAAGTTCTGAGATTGTTTCCAAAATGTCGGATTTTTTAAATTTACTGGTGGAAAAATAGTATCTATATTGTTTTATAAGGAGTATAAGCAGGACTTTAGTGGCGAGACTGAATGTTTGAGGCCAGAACGTAGTGTACCTAATCCCGCTCCCTGCGGAAGATCTGCATGGTACAAGTAGTGACATTTCAGCATCCTGACGATCTCCTGTTTACAGAATGGAGTTTAACTGGCTTTTTATTTTTATAGGGCAAGCTTGGTCCAGGTGAAAGCAGCTTAGGTACTAACCTAAGCTAAATAATTAACAATAATTTGTTGTCTGCAAGAATTAAAAACGACAAAAGAAATTTGTTATTTAAAAAGTTATTTTTATCTTAGAAACAGAAAGTTGGTGACTAATCTTAAATAAGTCAAAATTATACTATTTAAGTGGTAATAACTATTTTAAAGTAAAAACAACTATTTTGTGCTGCAGCACAACTTGAAAACCTTACTAAGAATTATTTCCAAAACACGATAACTGCAGGCTAACCAAAGTAAGTATCTGCCAATTTTTTCTCAAGTAAAACGCAGCATCCATTTACAGATGTTGTGTAAACACATTGCTTATACTTTATCCACCAGATTCCACTCTCGAAGTACGTTTCCGACTGCATTTGATGTACTCCTAATAACTTTTCATTTCCATCTGCTGAAACCAGTACTGGTAAACGTTCTACTTTAGTTGAGCAGTGGTAATCAGGAAGAATTTTACCATCCCAATGAACGAAAACTAAACCTTCACAAGAAAAACTTTTTTTGATATCTTTTCTTCCTTTCATGTTTTCGTCTCCGGCAAATAGTGCTATCGCAATCGGCACTATAAGCCTTAGAACTTCACGGTCTGAGACATTGTCCCTATCCAAAGCACTTATGACATTTAAACTGTAAAGTGTAGTTTTTAGTTGCTTAGGGAAAGGTGCGGGATTAGCTGATTGAACTAGTTTTTTGTCCGGAATGTAGGGCCTATAACATTTTATCTAACCAGTGAAAAGATGGCATAATGGTTTTTTTAAATAAATTTAAAAAAACTGAAATTTCTTAGCTAATGAGCACTCCCTTCTAATACACCTAGAGGCCTAAAATTTTGGAGGTAAAAAAATTGGGGGGTGAGAGAATCTGTAAAATCAATTTCACTTTTTTGGACCACCCTAATATACAATTGTATACGATTGGATATAATTATATACAAGTGTATGTTTATGATAATATACAACTATATACAATAATTGTATATGATAATATACAAGTATAATTCGTTCGTTTAAATATACTTAGTATATACAGTTGTATACGATTGGATATAATTATATACAAGTGTATGTCATTGTATACTATTTTAAATGTGTTATATAATTTTGTATATAATTCTTTATGATTATATCCAATTATATAAGGACAGATACAAATTTTGTATATAATCGTATCCAATCTTAAACAATTGTATATGATTTTATACAATTCTATCCAAATATTTTTTATTGGGTCGGCATAGTATGTGTAGCTGTTTTGTCCTTCTCCTGACAAAACCTACATGTGGCCTCATTCGCCAGTCATAGGCGCTACATGTTTGACACAACCCCTTGCTTGCAGAATTTTCGCATTTTTTGCATTTTCTTAAAGAGAACATTTTAAGTTTTCGTTCATTAGCCCACAAATTGTATGACATTAAGTGCAATGTGCATACACAAGGTCACTTTGTTTTGGATGCCTACTTTCTTAAAATGAAATAGTCAAAATTTCAATATTTGAATTAGTAACAGCATTGTATATTAATAATTAAATATATTTACGAAACACTACTACGCAACATGTTGTGTGGATTATAATACTATTCTCCAAGTATTAAATACCATGTATGATGGGCCCGAAGGGGGAGATTCATTTATGTTTTTTCATATTATATTTATGTTAACTTATATAAGTCCGTTCACATATTACGACCCGCGATTTGTGACCCTTTTTGACCTCCTAACCTCACCTCAAATTATGTCCAAATGTAAATAATTTTATTCCACAATATAGTCCTATCCAATTCTAACGCTCACCTACAATTGTATAAAACTATATAATATATATTATACAATTGTATAAAGTCATATTCAATTGCATATAACTCTATAGACTCATACATAAACCTATAGGAAAGCATAATCATATACAATCGGATATAATCGTACCCTGCTTAAAATACCGCCCACTGACCACTACTCCAGCGTAGACGGTAACAACAGGCCTTTTACCTTGCCACCAGAGTACCTCACAAAAGGCACCAATAGATAGCCTGTTTCGGTCTTCTGGACCTCAATGGTGCTGGGCAGCCATGTGGTGTGGAGCACACATGGGTGGCTACCATCCGTTGGATGGTAGATGTAGATGAAGCTGATTACCTTGCGCTCACCACTGTCGTATCCTTTATAGCGGCGTGGCAGTGTGCTTCGAAGTGTGCTCCACAAAACATAGCTGCCCATGGGCGCCGCTACATAGGGGCAGGGGGGGCCCGGGCCCCCCCCTGGAAATTCATACCCAGAAATTCCGGTACTCCATAATTTGACGGTAAGTGCTGATCGTTATCATTTGTTCATTATTTTTTAGATAAATTAGATTTTTTATCTTAGATAATTTAAGATTTGTGCCGTCTTAATGAACACTATTGTTGTTACAGTTGTAAAATGGATGAAATGCCTGGCTGTTCAAAGAAATCAGAAGAACAGTTTACTGATTCCGTCCATAATCCTATGGCGAAGAAACCAGAAGCCACAGATGATTATGTTCATATTCCAAAGATCTTCGATTTAATCTTATATACGTGCAATCAGGTTCATATCAATTTTGATTTGGAATCCAAGGGGTTTTAGCTTAAATAAAACTTAAAAATTGAAATAATCCGGAAACTGTTCTTGGAAAATTAATGAAATAAATATTAAAAAAATAGAGGATTTATTTATGAATTCAGGATTTAAATCCAGATAACGTAATGGATTTATGATTGAAGATTTAGATCCAGTTTATGGTGTGGATTTATGGATTTAGATTTAAATCCTTTTTGCCGGATCTTGCCCATCCCTGAGTAAGACGCTCTTGGCTGACATATTTCTATATACGAACTATATATGTTGAAAAAGTCGACTATAAATAGATTTCTTCATAAGCCTAGTGAATTGATAAACAGATGGCGCTAATATATTGTGTCAAATTTACAAATATACATACAGGGTGTCCCAAAAGCCAACGATATCCTTTGAAGGACTGATAGGTCAGCTCATGACTAATCAGAATATCAAAACATGACCCTGGTAAAAAATCATTAGTTTTTAAGATATTGGCATTTTTATGAATTTTGTGAAACTTGACACAAAAACCCTGAATAGGACTGCTATTAATTACAATTCAAAATTAAATTAATAGCAGATTTTGTAGCTGTAGCACTCGAAAAACTAATCTAAAGTGTCAAGTTTTACAAAATTCATAAAATGTCGAAAACTAACGATTTTACTAAGGTCATATTTTGATTTTCTGCTTTGTCATGAGTGGACATATCAGTCCTCCAAAGGATCTCGTTGACTTTTGGGACACCCTGTATAAAGATGATATTTTATTTGACTTAAGTTTAATGTAAACTTCTACAGTACAACTTGATTATAAATACCATCTATCAAAATTGTAAAAAACTTTAAGGCCCCCCCTAGACGAATTCCTTCCGGCGCCCATGTAGCTGCCCCTTGAAATAAAAGCACGGGTGCTATAGCTATAGGTTTTCAACCTTAACGGTATACCGTTAAGGTTGAAAACCTGATACATAATGCTACATTAGACAGATCAAGTATAGACATATTTCTTTTTGGTAGTTTTTGTTTGAATTCGAATTTTATTTTCTTTATCAAGACGCGGTCCGGAGGGCGTAGTCAACTAAATATAATAAATAATTAAACTAAACTAAATATTTTTTTAAAGAAGGATTAAATAAAATGCATACTAACTTGAACTTCTTGATGTATTCCTAAAAGACTTAATGAAAACCCTAAAGTAACAGTTGTTGTATCTTGTCCCTAAAATTACCAAAATATTATTTTCTTTATCAAATTAAATAGTTTTAAATTCTTACAGCAAACATCATTGTCATAACCTCGTCTTTAATCTCTTTTAAAGTAAATCCTTCACCATTTAATTTTGTAGCAGAAAAAAAGTTTTCCAAAAACAATACGTTATTATTTTTATCAAATTTTGTAACCGAACTGGATTTTCTTTCATCGAATTCCTTCTTTTTGCCAAGGATTACTCTGTCGGTTAAATTATTTAGAATGTTAAGATGGTGATCCTGTCTTTTCTTTAAATTGGAAAAGTAAAAAAATATATCGGGTTTTAGCCAAAACTTAATGTGTCTTGTATACAAAAATTCACCCATCCTAAAACATCATACTTTTTAAATGGCATTTCTTAATTCAAACAATATTATATAAATTATAGTTTAAAAAGAAACAAACCGACAATAACTGTTTGTGATTTAAAAATAAGTTATTTCTAAAACTACACTTTGCAGTAGGTACTGCTTAAAAGTTTGTTGTCACTTAGGGCAACAGAATATTTTAAATTGGTTTTAGACCCTTGATTATTTTTAAGCAATATTTAAATTTATGTTGATACATTAAATTTTGATATTTGGAAATTGGTTTCTTTTTCATTAGCGTCATTACTTCTCAACAGATAATGAGTAATTAAAAGCTTCCTCTTCTGTTAAAATATCCCTGTGAACTCCCAAAGTTGTTCCTAACAAATTAAACATAGCACCGGTAGCCAAATATAAGTCGGCTGCAAACTCTCCTTTACCAACGTGTTTTGCAAAATTTTGTATCAAATTTTCAGCGTTATTGTTAAAAATTGGCAGAAAGTCCAGTAGGTTGCTCTTGTGGAAAGTTTGCACCAATATTTTCTTATTTTGTCTAAATTTTTGACCGTCACTTATTAAAATGCTTTCGCCCAGCCAAGGTTTTAAAAAATTATAGGATTGTCCTTTGGGAATTTCCTTGGAGTTTCGGAGGATTGTTTGAATGTCTTCTGCATTATAAACAACAATGTATGGAATCAGCCCGAACCATACAATGCAGATTCGTTTGCATTCTTTCTGAATAGTTTTAATAAACCTTCCTATACCTAAGATAAAGATTAGTAGTATGCTTTAAAATATTATTTAGGTACTTACTTTTTGATCCTGCAAGTAAAATAAAAGTATGTCCCAATATAGGTAAAGATTTTGTGGAAGGTATTGATTTTATTTTGGATAGATAAAATCTTCTTTTGATGAACAGATATGCTAACAAAGCAGCAATAAAATAGTATATTAACATTTTTTCTGTAATTGTAAAATTCTTCGTTTAGGTAAATTTTTAAAACTCGACTTTTATGACAATAGGAAAATAGTTTTTTATCAAGAAGTGATAATAGCTAATGGCTAGCTTTGGTAATTGTTTTTAACGCAATTATATGTATATGCTTATGGTTACGTTAAGTACTGGGAAAAATATTTAAAATAATAAATAGAACCTAATAGAATATGTGATTTATTACAAAATTTGTATGTGTAATTTAAGTAAAGGAAGCAGAGCTGGCCAAGTACTCGAATACTTTTACTCGTATTTCAATCACCAGTAAAGAAGTACTTACGAGTACTTTTTTACTCATAAGTATTTTTCATTTGAAATACTTATTACTCGTACTAGCAAACCAAATTCAACGAACTTGTAAAAAATACTCGTGGAATTCACCAGTAATATATAAGTGTATTTTCGTTTATTATATCGATGATTTTTTTCCAAAATATCGCAATTATCAAAATATTTTGTATATACAGGGCGGGAAAGAACTTTTCGGCAAAATCCAAAAACACGTCAAGTTTGTCAGGGGGACAACTTTTGACACAAAAGCAAAGCAAAATCTTCCATCCCCTTAGTGGAGGTGTTATCCAAATTTTTTCAAATAGGAATGGGGGTTAAATTACACCTTATTTAAAAGGGTTTTTGATTCCCTATACATTGCTGTTTAGTTTTAGAAAATCGATCGACACGTTTAGAAATTATATATATGTTCCAAATAACTGTCATAGTGCCTTAATTTACGGACAAGGTTATAATATGCAAAACTCTTTTTGTTAAAACTTAAACCAGTGTACCAAGCCTCCATCGGTATTACAAAAATACAAGCAGATGCTAGCAAGACATCCGACGTTATCGAAAACCCTCAACCCCTTCTCGTTCCATACAACTGTTGTACTCATGTTCCAGACAATATAGAACTCCCTAAATTAGAACCTTTAAAAATCAATAACTTAAATATGGAAGAATCGGAAATTGCCAACCACAAACTTCAACAATATTCAAGAGATTTGGATAATCTTATTAATCAACCTTTCGTCGAGAAAAATATATCATGGTTCACTTATTTGACTATGGCTCTGATAGTCGCATACGTAACAATAAAATAGTTTACAAAATTTAAAACAACAAGAAAAACGATATCCGAAACGATATCAAACACCATCAAAAGACGACCAGACATCGAATCCACCGATAACTTCTGTGAAATCCAACTTAGCGAAAAAGTTGCTGCATATATGCTATATATGCTATAGCATCAACTTTTCAAAAATAAGGGAAGCTGTTATATGTAATAAAATGATAATACCATAGACTTCACGAGAGTCATATTTCGTTATCCAATCGGAGAAGATGGTATGGAATTCTCTGGGAAATGCAACTCTTCATTTATTCAACGATGAGAACCCTGAGACAACACGTACAACATATTTTAATAACTTATAAACAGATCTGTCAGAAAAAAGTATCTTAGTTACTTTAGAGTAACTTAGTTACTGTATCTTAGTTCCTTTATTTTTTAACAAAAAGTATCTAGTATCTTAGATACTTTTTAAAAGGAACTGTATCTTGTAACTTAAAAAAAGTATCTTAGATACCGAAAAGTATCTTAGATACCAAAAAGTAACTTGGATACCAAAAAGTAACTTAGATACCAAAAACTAGAGTAACTTAGTTACTGTATCTTAGTTCCTTTATTTTTTAACAAAAAGTATCTAGTATCTTAGATACTTTTTAAAAGGAACTGTATCTTGTAACTTAAAAAAAGTATCTTAGATACCGAAAAGTATCTTAGATACCAAAAAGTAACTTAGATACAAAAAAGTAACTTAGTAGTAAGTAAGAAAAGTTCCTTTAGTCAAGTTGTTCGAAACGGCCGCGGCCATCGAATTCGAATAACTTAAGTTATTATAATAAGTATACTTGCGACTTCAGCGACTGGCGCCAATCGACTGGCGGCGATTTTTGTTGTACCTACTTAATTTTTATTCACCTATACTTCTTTTATAATCTGTGACTTCGCCACCCGCTCTGTAGAAGGGTGTTTCCGTTCGTTGCGACTTGAATTTATAGTGGTAAGTCTGAAATAAGTTAGGTTAGGTAAGTACTTGCACTTGCTTCTTTATGATGTACTGATGTAGGATATTGGTTGTTACATTGTACCGTACATTCTATAATGTTCAATGTATGTTTTCCATTTTAAATTAAAAAAAAAATGTTAAAAAAGATTAAATGAAAAGTGTGAGATAATTTTTTTATTTTTATAATTAAGTGGTGTTTAATTAACGATTTTATCTCTTTTTTTTTAAGATATTTTAAAAGTGCCTAAGTTAGACACTTTTTGCATTAGACCCTTCAATGGTTTTAATCAACTAGATTTTATTGAAAAAAATTGTTAAAAAAGTAAGCTTATTTGAAAAATCAGGGTGGGGTTGGAACGAATTTTTGTTGGGCGGTTTATACGAAACTTATTACATAATATACAAAGTAACTAAAAAAGTATCTTATTAAGTATCTTAAAAAGTAACTTAAGATACGTATTTAAGTTCCTTTTTTTAAAGAGTAACTAGATACCCAAAGTAACTTCGGATACTTTTTCAAAAAGTAACTTATCTTGTATCTAGATACTTTTTAAAAGTATCTTTGACAGCTCTGCTTATAAATAGGAATGTATTTGCTTTGTTAGTTAAGTATTATACATAGTTTTGTAACATTAAGTACCCATTTCTTTGCGACTCACCCCTGTAAAATCTTTATTTATTGTGCGATTTTAACCGGATTTGTTTTAAAGTGTAGATCTTGATAAACTGTATTTTTGGAGCAAAAAAATTCCCTTGATGTACTTTATTATATTTTTTATATCATTTATTTTCTTTTCATTACATGGTGGCCCAGTTCTTTTTTCTTCGATAATTTTTCCTGATGTAGACATATAAAACTCACCACGCAGACATGCAAACTTTCTATTATTAATTTTTCATAGTTCTTGATTTTTCCTACGTCTTGTGTCATTTTCTCTACGCAGATGATAACATTGTTGTATTTTACACTTAAGCAGCATAAAATACCAACTGACAGCTTTCATGAGCATGACCACCTTAAACTTTTAGTAGGTATATAATGTCCATAATCAACAACAACATTTATGGGTCCAGGACTTGTACTGTTCTTATTTTCAATGCTTCACAGTTAGCTCTGAAAAACACCTTAACAAGCCGATTTTAAAAATGTTCTTCTACTTCTTCGATGCTGCATCGAATTTAAATAAAATGGCTATTTCAGATTAAACAGTTTCAAATCAAACGGGTAAGAGAGTGGATGTGTGAGTTCGAGTGCTCTTAGTTCCTATCCACAATAAAATTCTTAAAGAAACATAAATATTATATACAGTGTAGTCGAGTAAAGTGCGGTGCGAAACAGTGCTACTATTTTGGGTTAATACATACCTGTACAGGTGAAATCAGGGTACATATTCTCCAAAGAGTTAATAGAAACATTAAATAATTCCTCAAAAGGCAATCTTTCAACGGTGAATACAGGGGTGAGGTCCGTGAGGACACGGAAGTAATAAAGTGACAGGGGACAGGTCAAGGAATCATCTATTTAAAGAAAAAGGAGTCTAACCAAGAGTGGGATCATCACCTGCAGATTTTGATAAGTATCATTGCATGACCTAATACGCAAATCTGTAACAAAAACCTGGCAACAATTAATCATTACCGATAACAGAGTAGGAGTGTAAAAAAACCAAAACAAGTAAGAACGTCACAATATTATATTATTGTATTATATATATTATATAATATACGCATAAACGTACAGGCCAGCCACAAATTAAAGCTTTAAAAGATAACGAAAGTAAATAAACAGTATCTTAATAAACAAAACGACCACGTTAAAGTCTAACGTAAACAAACCATCTATTAAAGCACACGTTACACGCCTGCCGTTTAATTTAGGGCCGTATTTCAAATTTTAATACGATACACCACAGGGCCGGCTTTATCTATTTTGTATATTAATATTTATATTTTTAAATTAAATTGGAAAAAAGTAAGAATGCAAAGATATAAATTAAATAATAATAAACGGTATAAACACTAATTAAACAATTAAATAAATAAAGAATATACAAGGTCGATAGTCGGTACTCGGCATGAGGGGTTGAATATCCACGAAGGCAGAGGGCACATACGGCGGGTCGTGGCCACAGGGCCGCATCCCAATTTCTTACACTTCAGGGCCGGCTTTATCTATTTTGTATATTAATATTTATATTTTTAAATTAAATTTGGAAAAAAAGTAAGAATGCAAAGATATAAATTAAATGTAAACGGTAATTTAACAATAAAACAAATAAAGAATATACAAGGTTGGTAGCCGGTACTCGGCATGAGGAATATCCACGAAGGCAGAGGGCACTTACGGCGGGAAAACAATTCTAAAGAGGTTACCAGGAACCGGAAACAGACTAGGACAGGAAACCAACAAGGACAGGTTCTAGCAGCGTACTAACACCCCGACCCCCATTCATGAATCCCAATTGAATGGGGTTATTACTAAAGCCCCGGTTGAGGAGGATTTCGGATTGTACTTAGTTTTGGGTCAGTTCAATGTCCTCCAAAAACCATTTTTTACCCTCCTTGTCCCGCTCTCCACTAGCCTATACTGGACGTATGGCCCGACCCGGCGACAAAAATCAGGGAATGGCCTTAACCATCGACACTGTCATCCACGACCTCCTAGGGTAAATCTACCAGCCGGCGTAAAAACTTCGGATCCAACAAACACAGGTAATGCTGTGCAGTGGCGGGATACGTAGGAGAACGGAAAGGGGGTAAAATAACCCTGGGAGGTTAGTGTAAGGTAATGTCGATGGGGCCTGCCATACGTTCCCATACTCATACCCACAATCATATTTTTTACATATACTTTAATAGCGTACAACTCTTCGTCATTAAATAACGATCTCTCCTAATTAATTTACCTACCTGAGTGTATAAAATGTTTTGAATATTGATAAAAACACCCAAATTATATGAAATATGTTTATCTGCTTTTCATGTTATTTTATTCACTTATGATTTGTATAGCATTCTTGTGATTATGACCCATATGACTTTGTTTTAAAACAATTGATTTGTATATTATTTTTATTTGAACTGTGTAAGTCGCCAGGGTTTATATGGTGCCTTTTCCGTCTGCTCTGACTCAACCATTTGTCTTTGCTTAAATTAAATCAGGGGTTTCAAATCAAATTTTTGTGTTTTTATTAAACCTGACGATTGGTCAGTCACCAATTTCAAAATAAAGTTATTATCAATGTACGTAAAAACACAACGTAGAGTCCTAATTTTTAAAATTTTTAAAAAGTAAGTAAATTAACTAGATGAATCATCTAAGATGATCACGAATATGCCATAAGTATTTCAGTATACTTAAAGAATCGGGTTAAATAAAAACACATGTCAAATAAAAATCTTTTTCTCTTAATGAGCACTGATTGCTTTACTGACCACTTATTTGTCCAATGGCAGGCCGTGCCAAAATACGGTCGAATAAAATGCATAATGTAGCGCTAGAAGCAGAACTTGAAAATGTTCTGTGGTCGTCTTATGGTCAATAAGACGACCACTTGCGTATTAATTAATTTTATTTTTGTATTATTAATAAATAAAAGAGATATTTACGTATTATTAGGTTAAGTATTTTTTAACTTTACAAACTTATTTAAATTAAAATGAACCACTTTGTCACTAGTTTACAAAATTTTGCAAAACAATAGATAATGTAGGTAATGAATGACATAAATAAATAATTTACTTACCTGTTTTTTTATTTTACATTTAAAATTTTTTTGAAATTTACTTTTTAGTGTCTTAATGTATCATTCAATTTCAAAAATAACGTTTATATTAATTTTGTTTGACAATAAAGCACATTCTTAAAATTTTTAGAAAACCTATACGACATAAATAAGCCTGTGTACAAAAATTTTAAAAACATGAAACTTTGTCACTTTTTACGCGAAAGCATAAGTGACCGTGGATAATAAGTTTTTTATTGTAATGCTAAATTAGATGGCATCAATAAAGCCAAAGAAAGTTTGTGTTAAAATTTTGCTAATTAATTTTATAAAAATTACACCATATTGTTGCGGGTAAAACAATTATTAAGTATGTGGAACTTTTAAAATTTAATTTGTATCAATTTTTAATTGCAAAGTTGCGTAAGGTTACGTCCAATATTTTGCCTACTGTCAGAACGCTAAGTTGGTTTTACTTTCCGGGTCCTCATTTGGTCTCAATTTTAATTTTAAATAATTTGTTATAGCAATAGCAATTTTAAAAATTAAAGTAATTATAATTTATTATAATAAAGTAATTATAATTTATTTCATAAAAATACATTAATTAATACAACTCTTAAATAGAACTACCATTAATTCTGATTAATTTAATTTTAAATAAAATTTTCATTTAAATATACTTAACCTAAAATAATTTTAAAAGTCTTTTGTGTGGAACTTGATACTGAATAATTTTAAGAAATATTAAAACAATCATCACTCAAAAGTTTTGTTGTGTTTTTCTAATTCTTTTGTTTCTTTTTCGTTGATTTTTTGGTCTTCGTTATCACTCATCTGTTCATTTTCTTCAAGAGAAAGCTGAACAATGGGTTCTGCACTATTTTTAGGAGTTTCGACAATTGCTTCATCAACTGTAGGCATGGAATCCATAGCGTGTAGATCAGTTTTTACAGTTGGATCAACTAAATCGCGGGCTTGTTTAATACTATAATCTGTCAACTGTTCGGCTCTAGCAAGGGTAGGTTGAATAAAGTTTTCTACCATATTAGTAACGGATTCAACAGTTGGTTTAACAGCTTTTTCAGAGTCTGGAGCAGTCTGAACAGCTGAATCGACCTGATTATGGACTTGTTGAACCTCTGGTTTAACCTGAAAATTAAATATAATAAAACATCATTGTTCACGGCCAAAAATATTGTCATTTAATAATTATCTAACTTTTGATTAATTTTTCACACCATTAGACAAAAGTTATTATCTATTATTTCAAACATTAAGTGTTTAGTTTGTGCATTCACTTAATTATAGTTTTTATGTGCATGAAAGTACAAATGCAAATTAATGCAATTAAAAAAAGTCACCTATGATATATAATATAATTTATTTCATAAAATTAACAATTATTAATCAAAATATCTTTAAATAGCATTTGTTTTTTTCTCTTATCCATTTTCTAATATTATATACTACATACAAAGTTAAACTTAAAACAAACATTTAAATATAAAATATTAATTTTGAACAGTCTTGTGTGTGGCACTCATTTAATAATCGCATGAATTATTAAATTTTTAACAATAAAATAATAAATCATTCTGATGATGATTCAGAAGACATTTTATTTCTTACATCTTGGCATTCCTGGCACTCTTGGCATTCCGAGTTGTCACCTAAAAATTAAACAAAAAATAAAACACAATCAAATTTAAAACATTCTAAATTCATACCTTCATTGGAGTGGCCTCTGTGCAAATATTCATTGACTTTTTGTTTTCCGTAATCTTTTAACTGTTGAGCTTTTTCAAGTGTGGGTTGAACGAAAGGATCTACCATTTGTCTGGCAGCGTCGACAGTGGGTTGAACAGCTGCAACCATTGGTTCTACAGTGTGAAGGGCAGCTTGATAAGCTGGATCAACTAGATCGCGGGCTTGTTGAATTCTTGGTTCAACCTAGAACAAATATTTTTTTAGAAACAATTTTTAGTTTTAAGTTTGATGGATTTTAGTTTTTGACTGATATATAAATGTTTATAAAGCTAAGCTGTGTTTGGATTTCTTAGTACTCTCAATAACATATTCAAGGACTCTCAATAACATATTCAAGGAATATTTATTTTAATTATAGTCTATTAAATAAAATATGAGAGTGATTTGTACACTACTACAACTCATGTAGTAGTCATTTTTTATAGGACTTACCATTCCCTTGGCTTGTTCAGCATAAGCGTAAGCAGTTTCCATTGCAGGGGTCACGTATTCCTTGGTGGAATTGTAGATCTGTAAAAGAATCTAAATAAGGGCATAATTTAATATAAAAATGAACATGAATGATAATAATGCGATATTGGGTAAGAACATGAGTAAGAATTTAGTCGTTACCTCTGCTGGTGGCAATTTGACTGCAGGCACTTTAGTTTCGACATAGTCCAATCCGGAGCACAGAATTCCGTCGACAGTTTTGATTGGTCCTTCGAGGTTGCTCAAAACTGGATTGGCGTATGGTTTGCCTTTTTCCACGATGCTCTGGACAGTTGTTTCAGCTGAGTTAAGGGTCCATTGGGTTAAACCATTGTAATCCTAAAATTTATTTTAAATTTTAGATTGTAAAAATTGTAAAACCTTAATTTAAAAATCCATTTAATTTTTTCTTTTATTTAAAAAAAAAATACATAAAAATTAAGGGTCTAATATTATAACCATCAGAGTAACACCATTCGAGTCTCATTTTCATAAATTAAATGTATGTACCTAATAATATGGGCAATAATATAAGATATAATATTTTTTTAAAAATTTGGAAAATGTGATGGAATTTATAAATAAAAATACTTGACTTTGCTGTGTTTAATATTAGACCCCTAAAATGTAATAAAAAAATTATTTATATTCTTTTTTAATCAGGCCAATGTGATCCCACTATAAACATAGATGGGAGAATATCGAGATCGTTGGGCGTTTTAGCCAAATCATGTGAAGTGAAGCAATAAAAAAATTAAATGTTGGGGACCCCACTATAGTATTGTACTATTTGAGGCCATTATATGCAAAACTCTCTCTTTACTATTTGTTTTTTTTTCAATTTATTAATAGGCATGATTTATAAATATAATAATCGTTAATATAAATCAACTATAGTTTTTCAGAAAATAAAAATTGTTTTTTGCAAATAGAGAATTTTGAAAAGAAAAAGGTAAACACATTGAAATTAAACGTTAATTTATTAACCAACTTGAAACTTTTAAAAGAGTTTTTGGAACACAAACAAAAAATAGTATGCAAACAAAAAAAACTTACATTAGTTTACGTGTTGACACACGTCTTTATCATCTTTACTTTTTTTTAAGTTGTAGAAGGCTAATTCTGGTAGTTTTAGCCAATCTTTGCAATACTGTTTAACCAGCAAACGCATAATGGAAGTTTTATCCCCTTTAAGTTTCTAAGCGGAACTTCAACTGGCAAATAACCGATAACTCTTTAACCGATTTTATTTAGCAAAGAAGCAGTTTTAAAACGTTTTAAAGGTGGCAATACATTCCTTATAAAAAATCTGATGAAATTAGCGAAAAAAGTGAATTTTGATTATTTTGTCGATTAGAGACTTTTGCTTATTTATAGTTTACTCAAATTGACTAAAAAACTAATTTTCTAGTTATTTTATATGTTTACATTTGTTTTTGTTGTAATTACACGTGTCTTAAAAAAATCGCGAATCAACAAGTTTTTATAATCATGCCTATATAATTTAATGTTCAAAAATTAATCTATAATATAATATAGATATTATGATTAAATAAAAGTAAAATAATTATATTAAAAAAATTATTAAAAATTATTTTAGTTGCAAGTTCTTTAAAATTTTTTTAATAAAAAATATAAACGCTACATGAGGCCCCTAGAGGCCAAGGGATAAAAGTGAAAATGGAATTAAGTAAAGGAATATATGTACATCTAGGTAGTAAAAGGGATATAACTACTTACCAGTAAAGCTTGAAAAACATTAATAAAACAGGGTTATAAGTTTAAACATCATTATCTCAAATAAAATGTACTTGTACCCCTAATATTTAATTAATTAATTAATTATTTTTTATAATAAAAAGAATGCCTAAGTGTATTTGTGCTTTTGTTCTTTGACGCAGGAACGGATGGATCGGAAAATAACATTGGCTACTTTTTTTGTCTTTTTATAGTTAACTATAACAAACTCTGCCATTGGATTGGTTTAATGTTGAAATGACCACTTATTTATCCTTTTAACCCCAAAATTATTTTAAAACGTCAATTATTAACCTTTTTAAGCTCGTATTTAATGGGCAACCCATTAGTTTATTTTGTTTATTAAAAATATTTATATATCTTACCTTCACTTTTTCGTATAAATTGGTGGCGGTTTGAATTGAGGACTCAACCGCAGGGAATTTGGTAATCCTGTTTACAGAGTGCAAGCAGGTTGGTCCTGTTAATTCGTTATGATTTGCTTTGTCGGCTGCCATACTTCTGAAATAAGACACTAACATTAATTTATTTTACGTTGCATTTCGACAATTCTAGAATCGCGTTATACGCGATTAATTGTTATGAACTGACAATTAGATCGCTATTCAAGCATTTTAATTAAAATAACACGATTTATTTAGTTAACTTACTTTTTTATTGAATATGTCTATACTGTAAAACGGTTTTAAGTGTACTGATCTTACTACTACAATGAATTGCAGTTGATAAAGAAAAAAGTACTCATTTATAAAAACGATAACGAAACAAATGACATTGATGTGTTTTACAAAGGTCAAAACGAAATTTGATTCAATTATTTATGATTACAAGCTACATAGTTTTGTATATACAAAAACTCAGTTTTGAAACAGTGGAACTGTGGTTTTAATATATTTAATAAGCTAATAAAATATACTGCGCGTCAAAATTAACGCATAAGAAGTAAAAAAAAATCCAACTCTAAAACGCCTTTATCAATCTTTATAAAATGTTGTATAAAAATACTTCAAATTATATCTCAGTTTACGTGTTCAAGGGTTTTTCGAGAAAATATCCTTAAAGCCCTTTTATTTAATAATAAAAAATGCTCGAAAAAAAACTTTTATAGGGAAATTTATTTTTAAGTAAATGAAAAATATGTTGTGAAAGACCATATTTTTGTTAGTATACCCTGAAAATTTTGTACAAATCAACAGTAACGAGAATACAGCGCCTCAAAGTCGTCAAAAATGACCACTTTTCAGCAAAATAATAAAAAAGGGGTCATTTTTACCAACTTTGAAGCGCTGTATCTTCGTTAGGTACTGTTCGTTTCAGGGTATACTAACGAAAATACGGTCTTTAATAGCATATTTTTTATTTACTTATTATTAAGTTATTTTTCGAACGTTTTTTTAATTATTAAATAAAATGGCTTTAAAAATATTTTCTCGAAAAACCCTCGAACACGTAAAGATATAAGTTGAAGTATTTTTATACAAAATTTTATAAAGATTGGTAAGAGCGTTTTAGAGGTAGAATTTCTTTACTTATTATGCGTTAATTTTGACGGACAGTGTAAAAGATAAGAAATAACTTAAAGATAAATGATCTTAAAAATAATTATTATCATGCATTTATATGATGCCGTTATATGTTGATGTGTCTATTAATAAATGCAACCCGATTTTTTTATTATTGTTATCAGGAAATTTCTTAAATAAAGATACAAGTTCATTAATTTTTTAAGTGAAACTTCTTTGCGGACGGGGTAAATAGTGTTTTAAAATTATCGGAAAAATTAAGCCGGCGAAAAAATAACGCATTTTTTTAGAAAAAAATTTACAACTTTCCGAGTTTTTAGTAACATTTCCTGTTGGATTTATTTTCCCATATTTTTATTTTTATTTCGGGGAAAAACATTTTTTTTTCGTTTTTTTACTGCAAGGTGCGGAAAAAAAGTACTTTTTTGAAAAAATTGGATTTAAAAAAAGTTATGAACACATAAAGCATATTTATAAATAACATAAAAACAGGGTTTTTTCCCAATTTTTCCAATTTTTTCAATTTTTTGACGTTTTAAACCGCTAGGCGTAAATCAAGTTAAAACCAAAGAACATGCAATTATCTAAGGCGCACTTAGAGAAAATCATATTCGTAAATTACCGGTGTCAAAATGACAGGTGTCAACATGACCGATGTCATAAGGAATTAGCCGATTGTTTCTACTTTCTAGAATCGAATGTTACAATTTCTGATGTAACTGATGAAAATAATATATATACATAAATTAAATAAATACAATGCACTAAAAATGTTGAATTCTTCAAGAAAACCTAAACAATATAACCTGCATAATGATTATAGATTAAATAAAAACAAAACACGAATTAGCTGCATCTGCAATCGGTTTTAGTCGGAAGCTGATAAAACTTTCGAAAATGCCGACTATAATGCTGCCGTGCTTAATGAAAACGCCGTAACCAACAATTGTGCGATTTTTGTTTTACGGCATTTTCTACTAGAAAAATTCATCCTGCGTCTATCCCCGGTACTCAAAAAACCGTATCTATATATATACGGTTTTTTGAGTACCGGGGATAGACGCAGGATGAATTGTTCTAGTAGAAAATGCCGTAAAACAAAAATCGCACAATTGTTGGTTACGGCGTTTTCATTAAGCACGGCAGAATGAGTGCCGAAAATACAAACTTCTGTGAATTTACAAAATGAGGTTCCGAATTTACTTTCGAATCTTTAACTGAACTGAACTGAACATGAATTTATTCTACAGTGACCTGTAATTTTACATTTTCTTTGCTGATTTTTTCTAAACGCGATAGATAGAACCACTCTTGCTTTGTAATTTCAATGTATTTTTATGATTGTACGGCGGTGTATAATATTTTGAATTTTGAACTACGTACAAAAATGAAGTATTATATGCTTATGAGTATTATACTTAGAAAATTTTCATACGCTTAAAAAAAGTATATTTTATTCTTTGTAACTTATTACTAAGATACCGACCGGGATTGGGACTTTTTATCGCGGAATTTTCGGGATCGGATTTTTACGGGATCCCGAGACCCCGGGATTTTGGGATCCCGGGATTGACACCCCTAGTACCTATATATTTTAGGTAAAATATCTATTATTTATTCTTATTTTATAAAATTAAAATTATACCCATACAGCACAAGATGTCCAATGGACGTTTGGATGTACAACGGCCGTCCACTGGACGTCCAATGGATATATGTGCTGTGTGGGTAATAAATAAATTTTTTTAAACATGGACCTGGAACTTGCTAATATAATATTAGTAATATTGGTAATGTTGGTTTTTATGCCTTGCCTTTTCTTGGGTCTAAAGTGCATATTTTGTTATAAAATTATATCATTTAGTTGTTGTCATATCCTAATGAAAAATAAAAAAAATACAAATTCAAATATTAAATAAAATAAAAAAAAGTGTTAAATGATTGTTATTTTTTTGTTTTATGCAAAAGTGTAAAAATTAACTATCTCACTCACAGGCTTTTCTTATATAAAATAAAATTATTAATATATATATATATATATATATATATATATATATATATATATATATATATATATATATATACATATATATATATATATATATATATATATATATAACTACATACAATTTTGAAAATAAACGATTTTGTAAATAGTTTTTTTTAAATAGCACAAATGCTACAAAATTAATATTTTGTCTTATGGACAAGCATTTAGTAATTTTAGACAACAATGTAGATATTTTATTGGTCCAACATTCTTTAAAACGAAATATTTTCATCAAAAGTATATTCAAACTTTTATTTTTGGTTTATAATCAAAATCTAGAAGTAAATATATACACTGAGAAAACAGTTTGTTTTTTATAAAGCAGTTTTATTTATATATAATAAATGCTTTATTGCATATAGGGTTAATAAACATCCCATTTAAATGTAATAAAGCGTTTGTTTTTGTATGTTTCTTAATAAATAATATATTTATTTTTTACTACGATCTTAAAATATTAATAATTAAAATACATTTATTAAAAGTAAAAAAATTATTTATTTAAAACAAATTTATACCATATTGCATAAAAATAAAACCTGTTAATAATAAACAAATTTAAAGCAATAAAAATTGAATATTTATTTATTGTAAAACAATGAATTTGTTAATAAATAACAAATTTTAAATAATAAAAAATGTTTCAATATTTATAATAATAATGTATATAGTTGTTCTTCTAAATACGCCAATGTTATTTGTGTTTCCTGCCTTTAAGATCGGTCATTTGATTTTGTACAAAATGACTATTCAATTTCATGACTTAAAGTTGGTTCGTTTAAAGGGTTTGCTAATTAACGTTTGGAGTATGGACAACATTGGTTGGCCATCTTCATTTATTGTAAACAGCAGGTTGGTAGGAATCTTCTGTTAAAAAAACAACTGACGCCTCTTCTATTCTAAAATAAAAATTTGGAAATAAACAAAAAAATATATATAGCGAAGATCTCTTTAACTAAGAATATCACAACAGAATGTAATCATTGCAATGATGCATTAAAAATCACATTTTAGTTGCTACTTTGGAAGTTTGAACCTGATGGTAAATATTCCGTCATAAAGCTTTTCATTTATTAAAATCATTGTTAACATTTTAAAGAAGAAAAAAACTGTTATAAATTACCTTTACAATTGGACACAACATCACTTAAACCGAGATCGATAAGAAAGTCCTTTAAATCCATTTTTTACAGGTACTTCACTACTTCACAATATAAAACTAAAACTAATGATGCTTACGCGAGGGCGTGAAATAAGTAAATAACTTATTTTAGGGCATATTTAGCAAATTTTACAAAATATATTTATTAATAAAAAATGATTTATTATTTTTTACTTAACACAGCTTTATTGTAAACAAAACGTGTAACATTTAATAAAGAAAACATATTCAACAATAAACATGTATTTCTTACAAATGCATTATTTATTAATTAAAATTGTATCATTTGTTTTATGGAAGTTGGACAAAATATATTTATTTATTTAAAAATATGATTTATTTTTAATTAATAGATATATCTATATATGTTTTAAATGTATTAATCCGTTTGGTTTTTATAAAGAAATATTTATTTCTTTTAAGCAAACTCATTAAAACAATTGGCATATTAAATAAAAATATATTAATTTTGCCGTATTGAAATAATAAACAAATATTTGTTATTCAGAAACAATATTTTTTAATTATAACTGAAAACTACCAAATATATGATTTGTTTATTATAATAGTATGATTTCTCTCAGTGTATATTTTGTACGCTTCGAAGCGTAACTTATTACTGTTACTTATATATAAATTACATTTAAAAGAATAATCTATTAGACCACAACAATATAATAATAAGTAATGTTATCGTTTGTACAACTATAGTTTACAGGTCAAGTATATTTTTATCTCATAATTACCTACTAACAAATAAAA